CTAATTGCACTTCTCCCTGCCCTGCATCATGCAGCTCTGCAACATCCTGTATCTAACATCATCATCCTGTATGTAGTGTCTGACTGTTTATTGTAAATGATGGCACAGCCCTTATGACGCATGAAATTTCTTGCAAAAAGTAGAATGCCATGCTAGGTAGGATTCATGTGTCTCAGATGCTTGTTGTACAGAAACTTACTGAGGCAGATCTTGGTTGGACATCGCACTGGATTTGGTGATTTGGGAGACGTTCAACCTGGCTACTCAGTGCTATCAGTCTGCATCTCCACAACGATCAAGGCACCAAATTGAAACAAAAACCCAGGAAATTCTCTTCAGCTAATGCTGTTGCTAGCAGCCTTATCATTATGTGTAAAAACAACACGGGCTTTCGTGTCTGGAAGCACTCATCAGTGTTCAAGGCTGGGTAGTGGTACAAGAAAGTTTCACACATTGTTGGCAGCAAATGAGAAGTTGTAGGTAAAATGCGTTTTTGAAGATGTCAGTCTGGTTTCCTTCTTGAACACTATGTTTGCAGAGAAAACATGAATACATGAAAACATGAATCACCTCAATGATGATTAGTAATGGGCAGTACCTAGGCTGCGTCACTGTGTAGGAACACCATGCAGCCCTGTTTAAAATCCAGCTCTCATTTTATTTGGAGGTCTAGAGTTTGGGTGGTTCGAAAGTAGATTGTTCTAAATGTTCTTTTTAGAGGCTTATTGATTGCTTGGCTGTGTGAGCTGGATTTTGGAGGTGGGGAAGGTGGAAGGAAAGGAATTGGTGTTCTATTTCCCTAGGCCGAGAGTATCTGAGCCACGTGTTTCATTTTGGAGTGTGGTATTTAAATATTGTATTTTTGCTGTTTTTGTTGTTGTTGTGTAGTGAGAAGTGCTACTTTCTCCTGATCTGTGGTGTTGGCAGATAACTCTGCTAGCTCCAGAGCCATAAAGTCTAAGAGCTGGCTGTGCGGTAGGCATTGGTTGCTGATAAGGCGGACGTGGGATGATTTTCCAAGAAAGTTATTGTGTCTGGAGCCAAGGGCAGCCAGCAGTTACGTGACCAGCACCACCATTTCCCTCTTGAAAACTTGCCTAATATTAATAACAGCTAGATCTTGTTTCTGTAGTGGTTATAACCTCACGGTAGGAAGGAGAAAAAAGGCTTCTGTGCGTGTTATAACACTGGTAGTTAACAAGTTATCTTCTAGGTAAGTAGCAAGTGAATCTAAAAGCCAGCTTGTTATGTAGGTTTGAATGCCTTCTGCTGACAATATCCTGAATTAAATGCTAATAGCTTTGAAAACAAATTTAAATGACCTGCTGCTTTGCTTTAGGAGTAATATCATACATGCAAATCAAGCAATTTTTTGAAGCTATATAACTGCACACTGACAAGAGTTGCGCTCGAATCAGTTTCCACATTTCTTGGTTCCTTCATGTGCCCAGCCCTGTGGTGGTGTGCCTCTAAGGATTTTTCCTAACTAGTTATATAATACCATAATAAATAGTATTTAAAAGCAAATCATTGTTTGTTATCTCCAATTTGCTATCGAACATAGCAACTGGGATTGGCTTCTTTTAGGTATTGCAACAGCAGTGGCCTTTGAGAAGACTTGAAGAAGGAAGAAATGACATAATGACATCAGCAGTATATGCCTGAGGAATTCCTAGGCTAGTGGGAAATAGTGCCACAAAGGGAACCAGCCTAATTCTCTTGTCCATATCAACTTAGCCTTGAGTTTGCTCAAGAGGTCTTTTAAGAGCTTGGTTTTGCTCTGTGACAAATTAATAATGTTTTCCATTTGGTTTGACAAACCAGAATACATATTTTTGTGTCTATTTTTTTGCAAACTCTTTGGGGTGAGCATGTTGTACTGATATCTCTTAAATCACAAAGGATGTGAGATGGCTCTGCAGTGGCTACTGCTTACTGATGATGTGGGTGTGGGACAATTTCATTTATTGCATCTGTCCCAGAGCCTCTGTCCTTCAGTAAAATCACATGCCTCTGCAAAACCGTGGCTTCTACTGTGAAAGTGTGCTGCATTTGGGTTTATTGGAAGAGTATGGAAGGCCTAATTTCAGTGTGGTGGTCAAAATTCCTCTTCATATGTTTGTCTCTTATGACAAACTCTTATGTATCTTATGTCAAGATATGAGCAGAGTATAACTGAAATAGCAGTTCTTAACTTTTTACTGCTTTCTAACATTACATCCTTGCCTCCAACCTTCGCAGTAGGCATCCTCCTTTTCCAGCATAATGCACTGGATTTGCGTGCAGACCAGCCATATGGCGTGTGTAATTATTCTTTTATAATGGTGTTATTGCTCTCTAGCTGCCCAGTAAACCCAGTGCAGTTTCAGTAGACTGTATACAACAGCATACGAACTTCAGACTTGATTTTCTTCACTTTTATACAAAAGTAGGTGTGAAGGAGAAAAAATGATCCCATTTAATTTATAGAAACTATATAAAGTTTATAGAGTCTCCACAATCCTCACAAATGAAAAGGCCACAGAGAGGAGGGGCTGCATCAGAACTGGGAGGTCTGCAGAGCTGGAGAAGAATAGCACTTAAAGGAACACATCAGTAAATACCTGCACTGGACTTTTCCCATTAACTCCATGGGCAAGCAGATGGCCTGCATTAGGGGTTTGTCTGCCTTAGAGATTTTAGAAACAAGTTTTCTCCCCTTTCCTCCTCCCCATTCAGTTACTATTCCTTTAAAGTAGTACAGAACCAGTGCCTGTTCCGGAGTCATCGTTCTTATTGGAAGCGGCCTGTTTGCTTTTGAAAGGTTTACTGAGTAGTTTTAGAATCTGTAAATATACATAAGTGCTCTCCTGTGTGTGCCTGGTTTATTTTTTGGTGTGTGAACTTCCTGAAGCAGTAATACCAGCTTGGCTCGCCCATCCTTTCAGGCATATTTGCAGCTCTAATTTACACCGATGGGAGAAATTCTGCAGCAAAATTAGGAGCCACAGTGTCCTCTGTTGTACGGACAATCTAGGTAAACACAGCTCTCACTTGCATCCTTATTTACCCTGAAAATAGAAATTGTCAAAGTGCTTGGTGAAAATAGGACTTGGCTGAAACCAAGCCTCTGTAGAAATTAGAAAATGCTTTAGAAGACGTATTTTTTGCTTCTGTGTACCTTTCTGTGTTTCCTTTTCAATTTTGGTGGACACTGGACATCTGTCTAGCCATCCCATTTGGTAAGGCAACCTCCCTGACACCCAGGAGTCCCAAACGCAGCCCTGTTTCCTGCTGCACTGCCTGCCTCTTTTCACCAACACATGTATTTAAACAAAAAGCAACATAGCTGGGGACAGATCTGGCTTAACTTTAACATCTGCTGACCCTCCAAAGTTAATTTTAACAGATCAGTTGTTGAAGTTACACCCTTGACTCCGCATGACACGTGGCACTTCTGAACCGACGTGGGTGTGTGTGAGTGCATGGAGAGGCAGCTCGGGGATTGAGATGCTGAAGGGAGAGAAGCCCAAGAAGAACATGAGCCATCTCATGGTTTATTGTACTTTGAGATTTGTAGGTAGTAAATGCTGTGGGTATTTTTACAGATATTCTAGAACCCTAATATAATTTACAGTTGAATTTGTAGAGAACTGTTTCAAATCTGTGCAGATTCTTCTAAGTTATTTTAAAAGAAAAGCCAACAGCAATAATTAGTTTGGCATTTTCCATGTTTTCTAAAGCACTTAAAGGGTAATGACTTTTTTAAACCATCTTACATAAAATCAGGTTTTACAGGAATAAGAGGACCTCGAAGGCCCAAGTGGCCATCAGTTATAGATGTAATTCATGCTGAAAGCTCTATTCCAATACATCAAAATAAGGAAAACAATTATATGTATGATTAGAGGCTGCTGACCCTTCAGTTAAAATGATCAAAAAGAACAAGATTAAAATTTGATTTACAGAAGCTGCTACTTAGCCTATAATTAGGCTGACCAATAAAAACAAACCAGACTTCTACAGAATGTGACTTCTCAGTAGACGGGTTAGCTATTTTTGCATGGCTGAGGAAACACAAAAAGATTTTAGAATACATGCTCTATGTGTAGACTGAAATACAGCATATAACTAGTTTTAATGTTTCTTGTTTATAAATTGCCAGATTTCCTTAATTCTAGTGAAATTGGAGAACCACTTGAGAATAATTGTCTCTAAAATGAAATATCACTTCGTCAGTCTACTTCATTTATTTAAAATTTATGCTTAACTCTTTTATTTTAGAAGATTAATCAGAAATATGATTCCCCTTGCACTTTTGCTGTAGTTTGCTATGGAAATGGATTCAGGAAATGGCACATGTGATTAAAAACTCTTCAGCTGGCACAAAAGCTATTTGTACAGCTCCCAGCATACAGCACTTCTGGCAAGTTACAAGTGCTTCTCGTCTTACTGCAATACAAATAAAATGATTAATCAGTGTAGAGAATTTTCTGATTTTTTATTTTTAATTTGAAATTCACTACATAGAAGATTGGGGAAGATGAGTTTTTAGGCAACTTTTCCATTCATAAGATTGAAGACCAAATTGTTGGGTTAACTAACATGATCCAGTTTCCTTGTGCTTGTAAGTTAAGGTTAAGCACATTGGAATCCACATCAGCCCAATTTGCATGTGGGTGTCAGGACAATAATCCCATAAATTGAAGGGTCAAGCCACCGGCTCGGAGTCTAACATCACTGGAGAGCTGTGCACAGCATGTTAAAACTCAGTTCTCAAAAGCTACATTGAAGACTGCAAAACTAAGAGAACCTTTTTCCTACGTCGTTTAGAATGCATCTACGGGTGCATAGCTCATGCCTGGATGAAGACCTTATGTCTCCTGTTATGGGATATATTTGTTTTGTTTGCAGGCCTCCAATGAATTCTGACTTCTTTTGTGCATAAGTTTTTGAAGTTTCCTATAAGTGTGCTGTGTTCTGGAAACTTAAGTGCTGTGTTTTGTTTCTGATATTTGTAGTGGAACGGGAAAATGTACAGAAGAGGACCTTTACAAGATGGATAAACCTACATTTGGGAAAGGTAAGACTGACTGTCTTGATACTGAGATGCAAGGGCACAGTAGGAAGCAGACTACATGAACATATTTTGAAATAGTTACAATTTGTCATCAGAGGACTTCTGTGCATATGGAGAGATTTGTAGAAGAATGAGAGGAAGCTGGAAACATGTTTCCGTATAAATGAAAATTTCTTTTCAGGTTCAATGAACTCTTGGCTGGCTGTAGGTCATCTCAGATACCTTTGTGTCTTCATTGCTACTGACTGCATGTTCCTGTAGAACCCCACACAGCCGCATAAAATCAGTTGTGGTTTAGGCTGCTCTGAACGGATGGTTGCTGTGTGTTCCCCACGACTGGAAGTTTGAGTATCTGAGGCATAGTGGCCAAAGACAGATCAGTCCTCAGAACCTGGCTTTGTCCCAGATCTCCAGATGGGAAAGATTAATTACTTGCTGTTCGCTTTCCAAAAGCCTGCATGTTGTGATCTTAACATATCCAATTACGTTAGAGAACTAATTCTTGGACATCCCATATTTTTGAAGCATAATTATTTCTTAATCAGATGGTAATATGACTGTTGAAGCCAATTTGTTGTTCCTGTTGGTAGTAGGTAAGTACTAATTCTCATGAGCAGTTGGACATCCAGAGAAGGGTTTTCCTGTTGTTGAGAACGAGAAGAGAAAAAAAAAAATCTTAGAATTCCTGAGGCAGCAGCAGTTCTTCGTGCAGTCATGGAATGAGAGAGACCAACAGTCCTAACTTGGACTGAAGTTTGGGCTTCACCGTGCTCTTAGTACCTGTGGCTAAATTTCATAAAGTGCAGATAGGAACTAAGTTTGGGCTGTGAGTTAAACTACAGTCTGGATTGTGTGCTTCTTGTGAAGAGACTGCGCTTCAAACACAGTAAAGCAAAAAGGTTTTGTAGAAGAAAAGCATCACATAAAGAGTTGCTTAAGTCCACTACTATGCAGTGAATGTTACTGAAGGAATAAAAAGATCTTCACTCTCTCTAGAAAATCAGAATAAAGCCAGCTGGCAATGTTTGAACAATCAATTGCTCCCAAAGGTTTCTCAACTTGAAGACAATGCTTTGTGAGTGATTCCTTTGGGAATTAGGCTCTGGAGCTTTAAATTTGGAAGTTGTCAGAAAGGTTTGTCAAGTATGTAACTGTGGAAAAGGTCTTTCATTTACAAAAGGAATTAGATCATGAAATGGCTGTAGGGAGCTGTTAATTCGTCTGTGCCAAACATGTGAAGTCTTAGAAATTTTGTGGGTAGGTGAATTGTTTTCTCTGGAGCGCATACAATTTTTTTTTCCTCTCTGATTCAATAAAGAAAAGTGCTTCTCTGAAGAAAGGGCAAAAGTTTACTGCTACATTATTATTTTATTTCTTTTCTGAAACTAGCATAACAAACGCATCCATGTAAATAATGAGAACATTGCTAAAGCTATTTCTAATTACAGATGATTCCATAGGGACATCTTCTAAGGGAGGTGAGATGGCTTCTGCCTTTATCCTCTAAGAGGCACTTCTGTATGCAGAGAGGTTAACTTCTTTTATAGGCAGCACTGAAGGCCTCCTTGTATACCTTTTTAGGAAACTTCTGGCACAGTGTGTGTCCTCTTAGTGCATGCCATCCCATTTGGGTCATCTTTTGAGAGGAGATGGCTCTGGTAATGGGATAGTTGGGGGCAGTCTACATCCTACGAGTTCTGGTGGTTCTTGATTTTGTTAGGAGTAAATGAGAAGTCTGAAAGCTTCAAACCCAAAGCTTTTTAAATCTTGAAATGAATGTTACTTTTCTTCCTTTCAGCATGGAGCATTGACCTTAGTACTCTTGTCTAGATTAAAGACTAGTGATAAAAACGTACAGCCTCATTTTGCCAGAAGCAGCATTTAATGAAACATTGCCCAATCAGAAATAAAATAACTTGGTTCTTAAGGGACACAGGTGCAAGTGACATCTGAATGAAGCATCACTGCTGCAGCTGAGACTGCTCCTAAGGGCAGCACTGACTTTGTTGTATGCCTCACAGCACACAGCATGACACCTCACTGAAGTGGAGAGATGGCTCTCTTTGGAGGAGTTTGCTGAGAAGAAAACACAATACATTGCTATTTAAAGTGCTTAGAAAATAGTGGGATATAGAATGGCACCACCAGAAACATTACAGAGGAGACAGGAATGAGATTTGGGATAAGTCCTTGTCTGATCTCAGTTTTATCTTGTTTCTCTTAAAGGCAGAATTGCCAGTGATGTGAAGAAGAGTCATCAGTTTCTTCCTACAGGCTGAGATTTATTTCTAGTATCTCTGTCTTGTAAAATTCTCCTTCCAATTCTCTGTAGTAATGGTGACTCACCAAGTAGGGCTGTTTTAAAGCTACCTCATTTCTTTACTTCACAGTGCAAACCTCCTCTGAAAGTGAGAGATTTGTTTATGGATATACAAGATGGGAAAATCTTGATGGCACTACTGGAAGTCCTGTCAGGACAAAAACTGGTATGTATGCAAGGAAGAGAAACCTACCTATCTTGGAGCTCCACACATTGGAAGTAACACTATATTGACATTCAAATAATTAGGGAGGATTTGTTCCCATGTCTTGCATACAGTAAGAAGTATTTCAGCAATTATATTGTTATTTCTTTATGTTACAAGCTGGTGTCCTGAGCTGTAATTTAAATATGAAGGAAATCTGTAACCATGAAATATGAGTGGTGTGCAATCATTGTAAATGTTCCTTTTTTTTTAAGGATTTTTTTAAGGATTTTTTTAAGGTTTTTTAAGGCTTGGATATGTTAATGTTCACATACTCTGTTTCAAGTTTGCTCAAGCCATGTTATCAAGGAAAGATAAATTTGCTGGAGAAAGAATGCTCATTGTGGTCATATGTTCAGAACCACCTATTTTTTAATATTCATGCAGTTTGGGCTGTAGCAGAAGCAGCACTGTTTCTGTCTGCATTCACATAGAAAGCTTTGAAAGGAACATGGAAAGGAATTGGAGGGGAGACACATCGTGACAATCACTGATCTGTGTGCTGGAAGGTCAGTGAGGGAGGCCAGACTTGTGTTGGCAGCTGGGTCTTCCTGCATACATGATAAAAGCAGTGTGCCAACATGAAATTGCAGGGAAGCAGCCATGCAACAAATCTGTTTCATCTCTGCCAGAATGAAGGTTGTTGCTCCCACCTGCCTGTGCCTGCTAGCAAAACTGCTCATGCTTCCTAAATAAAATGATACAATTTAATTTAAGACAAAAAATGTATGTGTTATGATTTTTTGGGGGGTAAATTGGGTCCTGTTACTGAACGTGGTTGGGGTTGATTACATAAACAATCAACCTCCTGGTTGAGGAGAAATGTAATATCTAGAGAGCAGGAAAATGGGTTGCTAACTGTGTTTTGCAGCAGCTGGGGCCAATTGTATAGTTGAAGCACTTTCTGATCAGAGAAGATGGCAATACTTTTACTTCCTCAGTTTGATTTGCCTCTGTGTTTGCTGTTTTTTTAATGCTTTTTGTGAAGGGGTGAATAATTCCACCATTTTTAAACACTTATTGGCTTATTTTTTCTAGATGCATGAATACAAATCTTCAACCCATCGCATTTTTCGTTTAAACAACATAGCCAAAGCACTTAAGTTCCTGGAGGACAGCAATGTGAGTATTTCTAAAGGCAGCTCTTAATCTCTTCCCTGGATGTATGTCACAAATTGTAGTTGTTGTAATTGCAACTAGAGTGACGCATGGCATATACATAAGAATGTACTGCTTTTTTTTTCACACTGCAATTTACCTTAGCAGCAAGGTTAAAAAGCCACATAAAAATGCACAAAGAGAACACCTACAGAGTGTAAAACAAGGATTATTTGTTCATTTCATAATGTAAAGGTTCAATAGGATTAAAGGACCAGGAATCCAATATTAAAAGGAAATTAAAAGAAATGCAAGTAGTCTTTAAGAACTGAGTATTAGAGGCGTTATTTCAATTACTTTGAAGGTAGATGGCTTTCTTTCCTTTTATCAGAAATACTTGCAGTATTACAAATCATGTATTTATCTGGTAAATTGCTGTAGCAGCTGATCATGAGTCAAAGGCAAGAGAAAATTAAATCTGGGAACATGAGATAAATGCATGATTCCAGGAATCAAAAGCTTATAAGGATATAACTTTCCTCTTAGTTTAGTAGTACTGCAACATCACTTCCTAAAAACTGACACAGCTGGAAGGAAACAAGCAAGATCAGACCCTGTAGCTCAGAATGATTCAGTCCTTTTTGGATCTTTCCCATTAGAGCTTTCTTCCAAAGCGTTCTCAATGTGACCTGTGTCTTAAAAGCTCTCTGCTCTTGCAAAGCTATGTAATGGTGTCAAGAGAAGTCCCCAGCCATATAACAGCTTATTTATATGGTATACTCAGATCTTTCAAAATAAGGAAGAGAAAAGTGGAACATACCCACAAAGAATTACAGCCTGCTTGTTGTACTGAAAGATCTTTCACCTAATAGCTGAAATAAACTTCTGCAACTTCTCTACGATATTGTTTAGGATAAAATGTAACTGATGATCCTATTAACTCCAGGGTATAAATAAAGGAGGGTTAAGCTTCGCAGGCTTGTGTGTGTGTGTAGGGACAAAACCCTGCCTCACAGAGAGTGCCGTATCAGTGACTAATGCCACCTTGCTGCTTTCTTTTAATGTGCTTAATTCTTGCTCCAGAGATCCTGTGGTAGTACTCATCAGACTGGAGGGTCACTGGAGCACCAGTGCAGGAATGAGTACGATGTGAAACATTAGTGAATATATTTCAGCTTCATAGATTTTGAAGGTTTCATCCTGTTCCTCAGAAGAGGATGTGAAAGGTCAGAAAGTTGTCTTATGTCTTCCAGATGTTGCAGTCCTCCAGTGGGGGCTGATCTGGCCCTAAATGTGTATGTCTACATGGCCTGCTATAGAATTGTTAAGAAATATCTTACATGTTCTTAAATTTCTCAACAGTCTGCAAGATTATGCTTTTCACACAAAGCCAGCTAAGGCCTGCTAGCAGATGAGGTTTTTTCTTTCTGTTGATGTCAACACATTGCAGAGCTGCAGCTGAAGCAGGTCTAATTGCCAAGACCTCACAAGGTGACAATCCAGAACTTCACTGAACAAGGCCAGGCAGGCAAAGCCTTCGAATTAGCTCTGCCAAAACAACTACTTTTCTATTTTTTTCTTGTTTCCTTAAGAGTAAGCAGCTGGTAGCTTGTAGCAATTAGCTCAGCTGGGACAGGTGACAAACATAAGCAGTAGTAAGAGAACAGGACCATCACAGAACAGTCTAAGGATGAATGCTCATTTTGGACAATTATTAAAATGCACCAAGTTTTTAAAACTTTAAACTTTTAATGCTTTTAAAGCTTTTCTGTGCCAATTACTTTGCAGCTGGTAAGAAAATCTGAGCCTTGAAATATGGCAGCCAGAGGTGTCTTCTTGCTGGGATCAAAAACTGTTGTGCAAACCACTAGATAAAAAGCTATTCTGCTCTCCATTTTTCAGTTTAACCAAACTTAGTGAGAGGTAGTGATGAAAGTGCTGGCAAGAAGCCTCAGCTGCCAAGACCTTCAGGGTTAGATATTAAACCAGAGCGGGTGGAACCCATCAGTGTATGCTTCTGTGGAAATGGGGCAGCAGGGTAAAGCTCTGTGAAGTGATTCATCATGTATGGAATTTCTAAATAAACGATAAATGGGCTGTATGCTGGGCCCTGAGTGCCACGTACAGTACTGACAGCTTCCTTGCTTCCTCTTTCCTTCATGAGCTTTGCCAAAAACAAGTTTGTTTTGTCTAAGAGAATAACATTCTGTTGTTATTATGTGGAAGAAACTTCAATGTAGGAAATGCTAGAGTTTGCTTGGATTATGCAAACCTATCTCCTGCTACCTGATTTCATCAGAACTCTTTGACAAGCAGCGTAAAGTGATATAAGCAAGGAGAAGGGAGATGCATAGCAAAACAGAAGTGAGCAGTTCTTACTATGATTTCAGTTTTTTTAAGAGAAATGGCTTCAGTCCTATCCTTTTCCTCAGGTTTAATGTGCATTCCAGCCAATCTGTCACAATTTAGAAAGAGGAAGGCAGGAGGTATATGCCTGCCCTCTGCTTGTTACGAATTAGATCCACCAGCGAGGACACTATCTTTATCCATATTTGTACAGATGAAATATATTTGTAATCTTAAATGTACAAATGAGCTCACTGCTGTTCTGCAGACTTTGCTAGAGGTTTGGAAGGCTTGAGCTGAGAGCTCCATGAGCGAAGTGGCTGTGATCAAGGCACATTATCATTAAAAGAGATTTTAATCTTACAGTTGGCTGGTTGGTCAATGATGAAAGTGTTCCAGATAGATCCAATGGTCTCAGTCCAAGCCAGTATATATTTTTGTATTTATGTTGTTTCATCTGAATTTGTCTCTGAATTTATTATCTCTTCTACAGGTAAAGCTTGTTAGCATTGATGCAGCAGAAATAGCAGATGGAAATTCCTCTCTGGTACTTGGACTAATATGGAATATAATATTGTTTTTTCAGGTAATAAAACTCGAATACTTTAATCATAAGTCAACAGCCTTCATGTTATCAATCTATTCCAGCCAAGTACTGTTCTTTTAAAATTGATTTTTAATCCTAAAAAACATAATTAAGCTTGCTAAACATGACCTTTTCCCTCCTAAGATATGCTAATTTTATACCTGCAGCTGTTTTCATTTTATTGGATCTGTTTTGGTGTGAATAGAAGGCAATTTAAGCCCTGATTTGACTTGGACTCGAATTAGCTTCAGATTATTCCTGTCCCTTCTCCCCTGTTCTTTCTCAGGACTCTGCTCCAGATTCCCTGGACCTGCACCAATGTCTCAGGTTTGGTTCCAGGTTACAGTTCATTTTCAGTAACCTTGTCTGGATCCAACCTAATATGGTGGCAAATTCCATGCAGAAACAGTGATTTCTGGAGACTTTCTTACCATGGCAGAAGTTCACAACTGATGCAGAGAGCCAAATGAAATATCTTGAAGAGCCTGAAGTTTCAGTCCTGATAAAACTGAGTTAAACCTGAAATTTAATTTAGCCCCAGGCTTAGATTCAAACTGCTTCAGTCTACATGTATTTTGAAAATGACCTTCTAGACAATACCAAATTTTAATGAACAGAGAAAGATTAGGGAAGGTTTCTGCAGTTCTTGTAAGACTATGAGGCTCTAATGCTCTTTCATTTTCTTGGGCTCATTTCTAAAACAGCTCTCTATTTTGGAGCAGCACGGGGGTTTCTCTGTGTGGCTGAGCACTTCAAACCAAACAGCACAGCACCTGTTTGGCCAGATAGACTTGGCAACAGAAGGCACGGAGGCATATGAAAGCAGTGTAGTGAGTACTTTGGACTCAGCTATCCATGCTGACCAATGATAGGATGGGAATGTTGTTGTAGGTCACCGTTTCTTAACATAAAATATTTCACTCAGTGAGCCCTGTGAAAAGAGAGAATGATTTCAGTTAAGCTAACTGCTTTTTCAGGATGTGGTTCTTTGATTTTTGTTTAACGTGAATTTGTTCTGTTCAACATTAACCAGTTCCATGCCCTTCCCATTTCCTGGGGTTGCGAGCTGGCCTGCTGCAGCTGTCACGTCTGTGCAGTACAAGTTGAGAGTTGTTCAGCAATGGCCCTGTTATCTTAAAAGTATGCTGGTTTGCCTAAAAACAAACATTCAGTTTTCCATTCACTCAGTATTAAATCAGTGTTCTGTGTGTTTCACTTTTTACTACAGATTAAAGAGCTGACAGGCAACCTCAACAGGAACTCCTCCTCGTCCAGCCTCTCTTCTGGGCCCAGCGGGCTGGAGTCAGACACATCATACCCCAGCACTCCTAATGTAGAAAGAAGCATGTCTGTCACAGTGAAGGATCAGCGAAAAGCCATCAGAGCCCTTTTATTCTGGGTTCAGAGGAAAACCAGAAAGTAAGCAAACAAGCTATCATAAAAAACTGTGTCCTGCCTCTCCAGTTCAAGCGGAAACTCATCTCTCTTTCCTAATGTGCCACCCTGACAGTGGGTTCTTCTGGCTTTTAAAGTCTGCAGGCATAAGAGACCTACAGGTAGACGTATCATTGCACATGTGTCTAAAGCAACCATCTGACCTTGAAGCAGGCTGTGTTGCTTCGTGGCTTGATGTTAAATGTTAACTTGCGCTAATCTGTTTGGCACTATTTAAAATAGGATTGTTCCCTCTTCCCCCTCCCTGCAACTTCTGCGCAGTCTATTAGATATCTTTTACTAATTAAAGGGTAGGCGTAAATAAAGGTTGAAATATAGAAGGGGAAAAAACCCATAGTGAAAGACTTTAACAACAAACAGCCTTTTAAATTAAGCAGCAGTCCTGAGAGAGTTTCTCTGTGTGCTGTAGAGTGCCTAGAATAGAATTTGTGTTAGAAGCTTTGTTTTTCCTATGAAAACTGGTCAAATCTTAGGTTGTTTCCTGAGAATACATTAAATTTGGGGTCCAGTTCCATTGATCAACATATCTCTCTCCTCTGTAATAAGAAAGCAATTCTTTCACCAAAACATTTTGATCATTAATGCCAGGTAGAATTGCTGTCAAGTTTTTCAGTGTAAGATATCCAGTGCGCATATAAATGCTTGGCATATATTTTACATATGATATTATCAGAAAAGATGATTGCCAGAGAGAAAAGAGGGCATGGGTCAAACTTACTAATAAATGTAGGATAGCTGTATATTCATCATTTTTGTCTGTTGATAGCTTTGTTTGTCCAAACCTACATGTGAGCATAGATGTTCTATATAGAGAGCTGAAGATAGAAATTTACATTTTAAGTGTTTGGTCCTGTGGACCTCATCCCTTGATTATCTCCAGTGGAGGTAATTGTGCTTGTTGTGCAGATAAACTTGCTCCATTGAGATCCGTAGTTAATTGCTGCTAATGCAGACCACATAGGAAGCACAGTTTTACTCTCAAGGTAATGCTGATAATGACATTAACAAGGAGGAGGCACAAAGAGAATGAGAAAAATTAAGGTCTTAGACTTCTTATCCTAGTCAAGGAGTACAAATTGAAACATTTAATGGAGAAAATTGCTCTTGCAACTGAGCTATTAGAAGTGTAATAGTGTCATTATAGTTGTCTTCACCAATGACTTGTGCAGGATTTTCTATTCTGGGGCAGCATTTCGTTGCAAATTTGTTTTTTTTTCCTAACACACCTGTGATCTATATGTATACTGGTGCTATTTGCATTAGGCAAAGTGCAGTTTTCTGTTATCAAAGGCCAAATACACAGGAAAGTGAGTCATTTATGCTTATGTTTTTTAAGTACTTAGGGTGTTGGCAGTCATCCCAAGCTGTGGCATGAGAGTGCTGGAACACAGCAGACATGGGAATCGCACAGGCATTTGGTTTTGTGAATGTTAAATGTGGTTGCTGAGTACTTGAGGGCTTTGCTTTGACTAGCTGCTTCCTATGAGCAGGTTGGTATCGGTTCTTGACTGCACTGACCCAGTCTGTGAATTCTTGTGTTTCATTGAAGTATTTTGTGCCTTTTGATTGATGCTGTGACTTGTGCAACTTTCAAGAATCTTTGAAAATGGTGATGCTTTACTTTGGATTTTTAACACAACTGCCATGTAAACTGTATGTGATTCTGTTTAGATACGGTGTTGCAGTTCAGGACTTTGCCAGCAGCTGGAGGAGCGGCCTTGCCTTCTTAGCTGTCATAAAAGCAATAGACTCCACTTTGGTAGACATGAAGCATGCATTGGAAAAATCAGCACGAGAAAACTTGGAGGATGCTTTTAGCATTGCACAAAACAAGCTGGGTGTTCCTAGGCTTCTAGAGCCAGAAGGTAAAACATTTACATCAGCATTATTGGGTAACATTCAGACTACCATGAGTACATTAATATTGCATTGGCATACCTGCCGCAAGCCTCCCAGAGATTGGATTATTGATGTGATTGGTGTGTGGTACTCATTGATATGAAAAAAGATTTGGTCACTGGCTGGTAGTCAAGTGGTTCCAGTCACGCTTGTCCAGATACCTTACCATAATTTTAGCTATGTGCATTGGTCCAGGTTAGTGATTAGATGCTACATGACATCAATATTGCTAGTGGGCATTAATCACTGTCCTGCTGAGTGGAGAGATGTCTCAATGCAGTAGCAGCATTTCGTAATGCCTGCAGTCCATGGAGGCAAAATGTCACTTCAGGATGAATTGTGTGAGTCACCACACCAGGAAGATGGATGGAGACCTATTCAAGTGTGTTTGCATTTCCCAGTTACTCTTCTATAATTCATGTATATAGTATGTATATATAAATACGTGTATGCAAAAATATATATATGTGTACAGATAAACATATGTTTACAAGTGGAGCTGATTCTTACCATGCTTTCTGCTGAACTCTATTACACAGGTGTTAAGCCTTGAGTTTATGATTGAAAGCACAAACAACCAAACTGTGCTTTATGTGTCACCTGTTAGAAGAATAGGTTCTGCTAAAAATATATCTCTGTGCTGTCACTCAACAAGATCACTGTCAAGTCATAGCAACATATATATGCTGTAAATTACACTTTCCAGGTGGATGAAAAGTGACCTTGGTCAGGGCTCAGTATGTGTTTGGAAACAGGAAAAAAAAATTAATGTGAACAAGATGTTGAGAATTCTTTATACTGTAAACAGTGAAAAGGATTCTACCATCTCTAATCTGTCAGCAAAAGAAAAGTGTTGCTGCTCGTCATAAAGGCAGATAACTGTCTGGCAGCCTGTGCCTCTGCGAAACTGCTTTCAGGCCATGTGTGCTGACGTGCTGTACGCCTTCCCCCACAGATATAATGGTGGAATCCCCTGATGAGCAGTCCATTGTGACCTATGTGGCCCAGTTCCTTGAACATTTCCCAGAGCTGGAGGGAGTAAGTGTTTATTCTTATGCCGTATCCCTTTTTTAATTTGCTTTGGTGTAATTAATAAGGACAGGTGTTGTGTTTATCTTCTAGGTTTCTTTCTGAGCTGTTTAAAATAAGCCACAAACTCTGTTGTAATTTTTCTCGGCCTTGTTAAGTCCAGTCAAGTAAGATTTCACTGCAGATTGCTCAGCTGCTTCAGATACAACTCTGCATTTAAACTTTTACATCCAATTATAGCTTTCAAAGGTCAGAAATATTTACATAGGCTCTGCTACTTTGCCATCGTTATTTCAGAATAAAGTGAAGTTTATCCATTCATCTATGATTATTTGACCTTCAATTTGATTCTGAATTCAAACTTCTCAAGTATGAGGGTTGCAATCAATTTGAATTTAGCAGGTATTGTATCAGATACAAGACATTACAGGCTGAATCTTGTCAATAAAGCTGTCAAAGGCCCTCATGTGTAAGCATAATATACATTACAGCTTAAGGGCTGGGGCTTTAACGAAAATCGAAAGCAAAGAATTGAGGAGCAGTCCTCGGCAGGGACTGACAAAGGTCCTTTGGACAAAAAGAAGATAAATTTAAAATGTAGCTAAACAATAAGAGACTTTAAACTGGAGGGGAAATGAGAAGTCCTTGGACCTTGGGAAAAGACCTGCCTAAGATGAAAAAGGGTGCTTGACAAACCTGGTTTAGCACAGTCTTTTTGATCTGAAAGAGTTTCCAAGGAATTTAGTGACCCTTGAGTATGTAGGTAATTTTTTTGTGCTTGATTGCATGCACATAAGTCATGATTCCTACATTAGAGCCATTCCTTCTCATTTAGTGACTGAAAGTTCCAAGTGTTATTTTGTTCCATAGCTTATGAAATTGGTGGAAATTACTAAAATCACCGGAATTAAAATTGTTATGATAGTCTAATCATGATTATTAAATTAGTTTGCCATTAATATTTGTCAGTCTTAAGACTTTGGGGCATTTTAATGGCAAAAAAAGAGCCTACCTATTTATTTATTTATTGTTAATACAGTTACTGTATTAGTGTTAATACAGGAACTGAATAATCTAGTAGATTACTATGTTTCATGGTAGATTTAGTGCACTTGTTAGGTTTACTTTACTGCCAGGTTTTGGGATTGAGTCAAAAAACCGAAGTCAATTGTTTCCACAAATGCAGCAGGGAGAGACAAAAATACTAAGAACTAGCAGTAGGCTTGTCTCCATTCTAATCTTCCTGTACAAGTGGCTTTGTTCAATTCTCTTAACTTGCCAAATTGATTTGCCTACTTTTAAAATACGTGTGTAATTAATTGGCCATTTGCAAATTAAGGGGGCAGTGGCTTAGTTTCTGTATCACTTGGGAGAAGTAAAATGATCTGTGAGGCACGATTTGTTTTTTAATGGTGTATTGTTACTTATAGGAAGACTTTACAGATCCTGAGAAGGAGCTTCCAATTGAATCTACATATGTTCACATCAAAGACACGCCTTCAGAAAAGGAAAGCAAAATCTTGATTTTAAGGGAAAGTGACAAAAATATGTACACTGTTAATCATGAAAGGAGTCACCCCGCTCCTCCAAAGGTTCATATTCATGATACCCCTGAGAGAATTCTGTCAGAAGCTGTTCCTGAAGCATGTAATGGCAAATTGAGTCAAGTGTTAGGCGATTCTCAGGAAATCTCTGAAGATGAGCCACAAAGGCCGACTTCACTGAAAATTACAGGATCTGTCAGTTATGAATCAAATTCCTCCTGGGAAGTTCTTAGTGATAAGTTGGTGCCAGGTGATAGTGGCATATCTGATGATCCACTGAAGCAGAGTGATGACCTTTCTCCAGCTGTTCTGACAGATCAGAAAAATTCCGTTGACTCTTTTGAAGACTATTCTGAAGAATTAACAAAAGAAACCTATACTGAATACGACAATGAAACAAAGAGCCTTTCAGCCAATACTTCTTCTTTAAGTCCATTGTCTTGGACTTCAGGTATACTTACAGATGAATCTATAAATAGAGTAGAAGAGAGCAATTCCCAAAATTCAATTATTTTACCAGAAGTTACTTCTAAACAAGAAGATACACATAAGTATGTTCTTCACCTTCTAAATGAGGAAGTGCTGAAACAGCCAGAAAATGAACATACAAAGCAATCGCCTGTTCTGGAGACAACAGAAAATAACCATTGTTCATTGAATGGTTCTAATCTCAAAAGCCAAGAAATATCTACGCTGCTAGAAACATCTGATGACTCTCTCTCAGATGGACCCAATAATGGAGAAGACTCAGACAGTTGTGATGAAGATGAGTCTTCAGCAGAAGTGCTACTCAGTTCTTCGAAAGTGTCTGTAATACCCCATGATCTGTTCTATTATCCACATTATAACGTTCCCATATCAGCGGTTTTGGATGCTTATGTTGAGCCTTGTCTTGAAAGATACGATACTCAAAATGACAAATCTTTTCCTGAAACAGTAACAGATATTTTACATGAGAAAAGGATACCGGAAGAGGGCTACAAGGAAGATGATCCAGAGCCAGGCTTAGGGAATAATGATGATGTCCCTTCATTGGAAATGGGTACTGAGAATGGAGAGGAGGAAACAGTAGATATAAACAGTCATAGCAGTTCTTTCTATGAAAAAGAACTGCCATTACTAATAGGAGAGATAGAAATTGAAATAGACAGCCAAAAAGCCACCGGCAATGAAGATTCCATAATTCTACAGCATCCTGAGGTATTTAACTTTTTATTTGCTGTATTTCTTTACATATGTATGGGGGTCAGTGCCTGAACTCAAGGATTTCCTTTCGCTTTGCTTGCCATTTGGAGAAATAGATGAGATGTGCTTGGTTTTCTGCCTCGTTAATGCTGTTTGCCACAGCCCTCTACTGGAAAGAATGGAATTGCAGTTCCCTGAAAAGATCTGGCATTAACAAGAGAGACTGAGCAGTAATAATACTGCAGAAATTTGAATTTTACTCATGTTTTAAAATATTTTGAAGACCCTTTGTAGCTCCTAGGCAGAGAAGATTATGACAGAGTGTTTAAAATAAGTTTTAATGAAATGAACAAGAAGCAATATTGTTGATATAGAAAAGATAAAGGTAAAGGATTTTTTTTTTTTTCCAAATCTAGATAAGTTTGTCTGTGAAAACAAACCAATTTGAGTAGGTTAAGTCATGTGAATAAAGTGCAGGCTTACCTAAACTGGAGGAGAAAGAAGGGCAATTTCTGGTAATAATTCTGTGTTTTGTATTTAGGCAAAATTGTATATCTTCTTAGAAACACTGATTTTGAATTGCCTTACACATTTTCTAGCATAGTAGTGACAGTGTTGTCTGGAATGAATAACCATTTAAGTACTTGAACATTACTCTGTTGCTTAAACTTGGTTTGGTCCTAATTTATTAGGACAATGAAGTCAAATTGCTGTTATCTCCAACAGGCTAATTGGAAACAGATTTAAAAAAAAAAAGAAAATCATAGTGCATTACTTGAGAGAGCTGAGTCATGTCATACTTTCTTATGTTTAAAGAACTACCAACTAATTGCATGTAAGCTGGATTGATGATACTTTACAGTTCAAGGTATCTGAAATTATTTTCAAAATTTGTGTTTTTTTTCTCTTTAGTAACACTCTCAATCTCATACAGCATGTAATGTAGCGTCTGAGTAAGTTACACCACTGAGATATTTAAGAGGTTGGGGAACCAATCTTGTCTGATGCAAAACATTTCTTATTTTCAACAGGCCATAGGAGACAATCTGGATGACTTTGCAACAGTGGGAATAAGACTGGAAGAAAGTAGTAATGGGCAGGAAAAAAAGGAAAATATGATGGAAGCAGAAGACTTACAGATCTCAGAAGTTGGGCATACTACACTGTTAGATGATGAACTGGAAGAAATTGCTAATAGCCAGGAATTGACCAGGTATTTTGCATTGACATTGTCTGAAATGTATCTAACTGATAGGAATGATGCACTTCTAAAGGGCACTGCACTTCTAAAGTATGTCATTACCATCGAATATTTCTTGTGGACTACTTCTAGGACTCACTGGCTTCTTTCTGTGTTTCTCTTAAATATATCAAGTAATTGGGTGCAAGTGGGGTGTGATTTGACTTTGCTGTACAAACTTTGCTACACAAAACCAACTGGAATCCCAATGCATTTTAACTTTAGATGAAAGCGTTGCCTCCTTGGTCAGGCTTGTGTTCCCTGTCACTTATCAATTCTTTTTTAACTACACAACCATAAAATCTCACTTGCTATAAGACTTGCGTAAATCTAGGGGATGTAAAAGGTGCAAAAAATATATTAGATAATGTTTTCAAAGAAAAAAAAATTCAAATTTGAGCATTTGGATTTTTTTATTAAAAAACAACAGCAACAACAACAATTTAAAGTTTTCCAAAGTTATTCCTTGTAATGTTAACAATAAATTCAAATCCATATTCTAAAACACACGACCCGTTTGTATTTTTGTGTAACTAAAACTAGTGTGCATAATTGCAGTGAATTCAAAGTAAATCTTCATGAATTAAAACACTTTGCTTTTATGTATGTTCCAGAACTTGTGGCAATGATTCCAGCATCTTTCTCCGAAGAAGGTTTCCTGATTCTTCTGAGATGGTAAGTTTGTAGAAATTGACCTTTCTATCACTGTTTCATGATTTCTCCTGAATTCCAGAAGTTCAAATACTGTCAAAGGTTCTGCTTTCTATATTCTGTGATAACACAAAAGCCCAATGTTTTCTAAGCATTTTAGTGCTTTATTCAATAACAATTTAAACTGTTCTTTAACTCTTCCAAATAAATGAAATGACATCTTACTGATCCTTGGAAAAGCCCACAAAGTACTATTTAATAATCCAACTAAATATTCTCTAACTTTGAGGTTTACTCATCACTGTATAGCTGAAACACTTCACTTCTTTGAAGCTTCCTTTATCTGCAGATCCGATTTCTTTTAGTTTATGCATTTTGTGTATGCATGTGAGCATCCTGGTCAGAGCCTTGCAAACATGTGGAGTGTCTTTTGGATGCACTTTTTACCAAAGAGGCTCTTTGCCACTTCTTTTGTAGTAGTGATGTAGTAGGTTCTCTGAGTAACAGCAGCTAGCCCTTGAGGACACTTAATTGTAATGTGAAACTGCATCCTCTATCACAGATGTAATTCATATTGATTTCCTGCAAGCACACTATACATCTGAGCTCTGGATTCTTTTTCTTTTTTAACTCATAAGGGACAGCAACAGCAGTTCGGGTCTGCTAAGCACGGGTAGGAATGTGGCTTTTCAGCACAAAATAAAATGTGGGCCTTCTTCGATTTGTAAAGAAAAGTTGCTGACAATATTCAGGGAAACCAATGTTTCACACAGAAAGTTGTATGAATGAGGAGAGTTCTTGGCGCTTCTGATTATGTACCAGACTGTGATGGGGGATGCATGGGTGTGGGATAAATTTAGGAGCACGCTTTCATTTTATTTGAGTAAACATTAGACGTACTTTGCAAAGAATGCACGCACAACTACCGGTGTATGAGAGACTGAATTTTATTTTCTTTTTATATCATCTATTTTTTGTTACTTGTTTCTTTAAGGAAACCTCTGGTAAAAAGGATCAGAAGATGACAGAAATGGGTGAAAATCTCTTGATCACTGGGTGAGTAGTTCTTCAGACAGAATCTTGTGCAAGGAATCTATAACTTCTAAGTAATTTGTCAGTGTTACAAAGGGAAATAAAAATTAACAGTAGTAATAGACCAATGGTACATCTTATGTACTAGCTCAGGGTCAATATTTCCCATAGGTGTAAGACACAAAACTTCTTTGTTGCTTGATCTCTCTCTTTAACTAAAAATGTCTTTTCTTGACTTGAGAGGAAAGGCTTATCTGTCTAAGCAAGACTGTGAACTCTTTCCCCACATAGTGGATATTTCAAACCAAGAACAGAGTGGGAGGACTTTCTGTGTGAGGCCTCTGGCATTGCTGGCTCTTTCCAAGTTTAGAAGCCTATCAAGACAGTGTTTAGCACCATCAGTGCTTAAGTGTTCTGTTAAGGCAGTGCTTAACAGAACTCTTGCCTCTCCTAGAGCACCTGTGAGCTTCTACAACTTGAGTGTGTATGTTTAGTTTGGGCTTACAGTGCTGTGGTGGATCCTGAACTCAAAATGTGTATCCCTTCAGTATGAGTTTCTACATATCTATTTAAGAAATAAGCATTACCTCCCTCACTTGATTACGTTTTTCCTCTTGATTGGTACTGAATTAGTACCACCTTCAATTTCTAGTTAAAATGATGGCTGCTTTTAGCTGTAAAAAGCACGCAGAATAGCAAATGCTTCCGTTAAAATATCTATGTGAATAGCTGTCACAGCAATCTATAACCACTGCTTGCTTGCAGACTGCTGCTATTGAGCACGTTTTGTGTAATATTCATATGTATGTATTCAGTACATTAATTGAGAGAGGGGAACGCCCAAGCCAGAAAAAAAAAACGGAGGTTGTAATTCTAGAGTTATCCTGCAAACTAACAACCTGAGTTGTTCGTTTGTTTCCTGAAGTGTAGGGCAACTTGTTTACCCTTCTATGTATCTGACATGAAAAACTCTAAGAGTAGCTGGTTTGGAATCAGTATGTCAAGTCTGATACTTATATCATATAAATAAAATACTTGACGTATAAATAAAAGGTGATACAATTGTTGCTCAAAGCCATGTTTATTGCTCTGAAAGTTAAAAAATAAAAAAGTATCTTTTTGACCAATGAAAATCAGCTTATGTCAAACGAACTGTTTCTGCATGTATTTTAACCACCTGAGATCCTGTCCAAGTCTTCAGAGTATTAATTGCAGTTTTTAGAGTCCTTAGGAACACCTGCTAGAGCTCATTATGCATCCTATAGCGTAGCTTGGGTTGCAACCAAGTAGGTTGAAAGAGCTGATCAAACTGCTGTCTATTAGAATGCTCTCTGATCTTTAATGTAAATGTTTACAGTTTTTCCTGCCTCTTGACAAATTCTCTCTTATTTTTAGGATGAAAAAGGAAGTGGAAACGCACGAGACTGCAGCACCTCCTTGCCAGACTCCAAGCATTGAGCAATCAGAGCTATTCTACTTCATCATTTTCCTCTGGGTGCTTGTCTACTGCCTTTTAGTCCTTCCACAGCTTTTTAGCTTCAAAGTGTGATCTCTGTGAGGTGTGTACAAATAAAAGACGGTAGCTTGATTGCTTTGTGTATCTACATATAAGTATGTTATTTCAGGTGAAGCACAAGCAGAAATATAGGACCTGGTATTTGTATTTACTATCAGGTTCTCATCAGTTCCTCTACTGTTGTGCTATGACAATGTCTAAGCACATTTTATAATACGACAGTTGTGTAAATATATATAAAAATGACCTGATTCAGTAGCTGCAATTTTGTACATTTGTGCCTTGCTTTATAAGATGCTAAATAAAAATGGATGATTATCAGTAGAACTATGAACAATTCAGAGCTCTAATCATCAAAAATTATTCTTCTGGCTTCATTTACCTGCGAACGGTTCAACACCAGTGGAAGACTTGTTGTTGGCTTGCCCATTAATCTGGCCCTCCTGAAAGAGCAAGGCTTGAAATGCTCTTTTTCCGTGGAGTTCTTTGAGAGGTGGAGGTAGAGCCGAGTTGGAGTTGAGACATTCTTGCTGCAGGAATTTAACTATAATCCTAGTGGCAATCCAGTGGAGCAGCAAAATCAGGTGGAGGGTTTTTGTGGAGGGAAGATTGTTTTTTTAGGATGTAAATTCATTTTTACTCAAAACCTGTTATGCTTAAATTGCAGGAACAAATTGGGTGTAGAGCAGTGGGGGATCATGTGAGAAATCTTAATCCAGATATTTCTGTACAGAGTACCTGAAGAAATACACTTTGTATGTTACTGATGGTGGCAATCTTTGAGAAAGATCAGGAACAGATAGGTGGTTTTTGTTTGTTTGTTTTTAATACTGTGAGACAGTATCTCTGTTGTGAGACAGCATCTGATTCCTTTTTTCTGATGCTTTTATTTACCAGATCATGTGATCACTTTGTCTTTTAAAGATACAAAATATGACAGGTAGTCTAACTTCTAAGGCTACTGTTGAAGCACAAGTGCATTGTTATGAAAGAGTTAGAAATATTCTTTAAGTGTATAAATCAATGACGAGTGTAAAACTCAATATAGATAAATGCTGACAGCCTTTGTTTACTCTCTAGTTTAACTGGATAGACTTCTGTGCACAGACATAGTTAAGCCATTTCTACCTCTTAACTTTTAGCCACATCAGCAATCACTTTAGGGTATTTGATTTAGTTTTTCAGCCAGAGGAAGGGTACCAGTGCACTACAGGATGAAAGATAATTCTTCAAATTCAGTTCAATTGCAATAATTTCTTAGTTATCAATGGAGATTATCTGGAGTTCAATTACAGTCTTTTTGGAGAATTTTACCACTATCAGAGTTCAGTCAAGGAGAATCATTTCCATTTTGTCTTCTCTCTCCTAAGAAAATGAATTGGAAGGAGATCTTTGGATGTCTCACCTAAGCCACTGGCATCCATAAAGAATGGAAGAGTGGGCTATTAACTTCCAAGAAGGAGAAAACTCATCATTTTTTTCTTCCCTCTTGCTAATAGTCAGTGGCTCAGGCAGCAAAATGAGCAGTTTATATCTTAGAGAGCATGCAGCAATTGTCTTGATCACTTCATCCAATCTTTAAGCTAATGTATACTTTCCAGCCTGGCCTGAGAAAAGATGGAGGTTGCTTCTACTTTCTGAAGTTGGTGAAAATAATACTAAATAAATCCATGATACTTGGTATTTGGCTGCTTTCCACATTTGGATTTGCCTGGTTTGTTTTTGTTTGTTTGTTTGTTTGATTTTTTACTCTAACAGAAGCAGTCTAGCTTATTCAGCCATTCTGTGGGTAAGAATGTCCAGAGTAGAAGAGTTACAAATAGTACTGCTGTGGTCAGCTGACTATGGAAACAGACTGAACTCTCAAGGAGTTCTGCCATTATCTAGAACTGAAAAAGAAAAAATAAAATAATATAAAAAAAAAGGACAACTGCATGAGCAGCAGCTCCCCCCACTGAAAATGAATCTAATCCCTCAAGTGCCCTCTCTGTTCTGTAAATGTTGCTCCTTTTTGGTCCTTGTGTGCCATTCTTAGCTTACATTGTAAAAGCCTGACTGTGAAGCGTTCATTGCAGCAAAGGGTTTTCTAATGTGCTGACTCGAAGACTGTCTCAAGGCATCTGAGATTTTAAAGGCTGGTGGGCCATTTTTATCTCACCAATAGATATGTGCACAGTCTGAATAAGGAGGTTTTTCTTGAAAAAAGGCCTGGATTTTTAAGTGCTAAGCTTGAAGTGACCTCATTTGATACTTTGATTTAGTAGCAGAATTCAGATATATATGGGTACTGATCTGTTAAGACCATTTATAAAACCAGCTCTTGATGAGCAAGTGTATGCATGGTAAGGTACTGTGAAGTGTAAGTGTTGGGAAGTGCTTGTAGATTACTGGATAAAAGGGTGTTTGGTGTTCAGAGAAGTACCATCACAGGCTGCAAAACAGCTGTAACAGGATGTTTCAATGGTACTGCTGTTGTGTAACTTAACTGCAAAGTGTTTCATTGCAATTTTATAGAAAGTGCGAGAAATGGTTTAGTATTAAAGACCAAAGCCTGCTAAACGGTTATGGGGCAGATGTCTTGCAGCTGAAGAAATGAGTTAAGCAATCACTTCATCTACAAACTGAAATGAATGCAGCCTTTGCCAGGTTGTAGGAAATGATCAGGGCAAGTACAGATTGCAGTTATAAAAGAAAAAGAAAAGAAGACAATCACTTTTTCAATGCCGTGAATATTTTTGATAGATTGAGCTCTAAAATGTATTTTAATTGAGTTTCTAGATTATAATGAATGTGTCTACAGAATTTTATGCAAAGCTTCAGAGTTCAGCTGTTTTAAAAAGATGTTTTTTTATATAGCGGTGATTATTTTATCTATATATTTAATAGAACTGTAAAACCATTTTAAGAATACCTGTAAAACTATGTGTATGTGATATGATTATTTATTAATTATGACTCACAAGAATGAACATTGAGCTATGCATCAGTTGGAGCATCCATTTGGAAACAGAGGAAGATCTCTTGCTGAGCAGTAGACTTGAAAGACGTGGGAAATGATTTGAATGCAACTGCGTGATCTTAGAGCTGCATAGCTATTTATCATTTTGTGATGTTAACTTTCATAAGTTGCAAATTATACTGAGTGATGAGGCTTCTTTCTTCCATTAAAACTTCCTGAGGCTGAAATTTCAACAAGCTAATATTTGGTGTTCAACTCACTTATTTCCCTTACATCTTCTGATGATAGTCACTATGATTTCTTTATCAAAGTAGTGAGCTATGAATTTACTGGGGCCCAGGGTTTTTTATTATTATTTTTTTTTTTTTCGGAGCTTTTGGTACCCATCCTCACATAATCAGAGCTTTGAAAAGAGGAATTTGCCCAGTGTATGTGCTCTCATATTCAACCATCTAAGAAGATAATTAGTGCATTATCACCCACATGTAGCTTTAAGTACTTGGGAGTCCCTTCTCACCAAGCACAAAAATGAATGCATCAGTGATGTGTTCAGTTCTCGACTTCTGTGAAAGTCAGTGTGACACATCTGTGTGCTAAGCACACCTACGGGATCTGGCCTTGAGGGGACTTAACTTCCATCACATAGGCCAGAAGTAGCCAAAGCGTACGCATTGCCTTGGGGCTAGGTCCACAAACAATGCCACAGACTTCAGTTAACCCCTTTAAATGCATCACATTTGTTGCACAAATTATGTAGGACCAATCCCCTACTTCTTCTAGGAAGTTACCATCCCCTACCAGTTTTGATCAAGAAGACAGCAGCAGGAAACAAGTGGCTGGAACGCAGAGTAAGGTCACAGGTTAGAATGTGCCTGTGAAAGTTCCCAAACCTCCACAGCCAAAAGCTCTGACCTGACAAAAGTCACCCCCCTAATTTCCACTGGGCTAGTAGATGGTAAACCTGAAAGAAGGAAAAAAATCCATAAGTGTCTGTATTTCCATGTTGTGCAGTTTTTTTTCTGAAGTAAATAACATCAAATTCTTCCCCACCGCCTGCCACTGATGATGCTGATTTATAGACATCTGACTGATGAGTGTTTATAATCCAGTTTTGTACATAAGCAGGGTGTGCACGAGTGCAAGCTGCTACCCCACACTCTGCCATGGTGGAGCTATGCATGCCAGAGGACGGGATTTATATGCACATACATTTAAGGGATATAGGAAAAGACATATTCTGAATGGGAAAGCTTGCTTGCTCTGTCCGTCTCTTGACACACTACTCTATAGCTCACAAAAGGCAACAAAAATTAACCTTTTATTCTCAAGTGCCGTGTCTGTTTCAGGGTTATCTTAACTGAAATTGTGGAATAGCAAAGCATTTCTTTCTTCCTCTGAATATGAGACGTGGAAAGCTCACTTCCACCTCAGTGGCACTTTTGATGACTCCTTTTCAGACAGCTGCTACTGCTGATAATGGAAAATGAGAACGGTGTTATTTTCTCACCATGAGGGGAATGTCTAAGTTTATGTCTCTGGAACATAAAATTGGCCCCTGGGTGATTAATACAATTCTTTCCTCATGAAAAGGTTAGAAGGGGCAATAAAAATAATTAATTCGACCTCAGTGAGAAATAGTAAAAAATAACATTCCAAGAAAGGCTGTGTTCAAGTCAGGTAATATTTTACTACCAAAGTAGTTTCATTACTTTCATTGGGCCTTCCTGGAATCTCTTTAATTCACAGAATTCATTTGCTCTGTGCCCAAGGAACCATTCATACAGTGCAGCTCTGATCCACAGCTGTCATTAGACTATAACAGATAATCGCCAGTGTTCACTTAGAAATGACTGGCCTAATTTAATTCAATTCACTTTCAACTTCCATGCTGTTCGTTTTGTAGAGAAACAACTTTTTTTTTTTTTTAGTGCTGAATAACTTACAATTAAATATTGTAAATCAAATACATCTTTTTATTACAGCCAAAAGAATTCAACCTCTGCTTTTGTATTGAAGGATGTTTTAGTTTCCATACCACTTCATGCTATTTTATTCTTCTGTGTAAAAATCCAAAAAAAAAAAAAAAAAACCCACAACAAAACCAACCCTGTTTTACCCTGATCAATTTTACCATTCTTACTAAAGTTCTTCATTTAAAACAATCTGTAAAGTTCTAGTTTGCTAAGGAGTTAATTAGGGACATTTGTAAGTGAGGGATGTCATATTTAAAAAACGTTACCCTTTGGCAAGAGGTCAGGAGTGAAGGTTATTTGAATGAGAACAAATGCAAGGAGGGCTTGTTTGGTATCAAAAGGCTGAAGGAGATGCATTTTTGTGTATTTTAAAATACATTTCTTCTAAATGCTTTCAATCAGTGGTATGTATTGAACACTTGCACTTGTTGCTCAAAGCTAATTTTTGTGAGAAAGAAATGTATTCTTGTGTATAGTTGGTACAATAGCAAAGAAAATGTTTTTAGAAACTGCTACTCTGTGATAAGATTAGTATTTACTAGTGAACAGTTCCACTTTATTTTATAAAATCTCCTGTTTTGAAATAAATGGACAGGCTTCCTGTACATAAAGTGTTACCTGTGAGTTTGTCCTTTTCCTCTCTGTATATTATCAGACACCTTCCTCTCTGCATATTGTCAGATTACCATTTTGTTCTTATTTTGCATTTTTGTGCCCAGAAACTGTACCCACTTTTTGGTAGAGAAGATCTCATCAAACAGAGCAAATTCATAAAGAGCACTCTTTTCTCACCTACCTAAAGAGTGACTTTTAATTTTGGATGGGGAAGCCAAACTTTTATACCAGTCAACAAATAGTAAATTTAAAATTTTCATATTGGTTATTTGTTACTTAATTTCTTATGTGTGGAAACTGGTATTATAAAGGTAAGCTTTCAAAACCAGTTGTGCTGAATTATATATTATTCTTAATATTCAATTTATCTGGCCTATTTCTATGTAAGAAGCTAAGTGTTAGACCAGTGAATTAGTAACTTACTGGGCGCAGAACTGATTCATATTTACTATGCTCCTCTCCCTACACCTCAATTCCCTTTGCAGTGTATGAGCAAAGGAGAATAATCAAAGTGCAACAGAGATAAAATACAGTTGAGAATCAGACAAGTAATCTGCCTCCAGAAATACAGAACTAAACATCATGAAACTGTAAGGGGAATGGAGTGGAAGTGCTTATTTTCTAACTAAACTTAAAGGCTAATAGCTTTCATGCTTTAGGAATGGTAAATGCTCCTCTATTCCTCGCTACAAAATCAAATCACCTCATGCACTTTCAATGTGTTTCGCACAACTCTTGTTGTTGCTGGTACTTATTGGCCATCCTCCCCCACACTAGTGCTTGTAGACAGTAAGAGAATATTCATAATGTTATTGACAATTTGGGAGGAGTATGCATTTTTACAAGAATATAGATTCCAAAACGTAGTTCAATTGCAAACATGGCAAGAGTAGGAATTGTTGGATTTGATTTCTTTTGCGCTACCACAGGATATAAATCATCTTGATTGCAACCACAAAAATAATCTCCCTTATCCTTTCTGTGTAAACACAGTTTTGGTAGCTCAAACAAGATGCAAACGATGCAGAATAGAAAACATACCTATCTGGATTATGACAGCAATACAGACAAGCATGGGTGTCATTTCAGATAAGGAACCAGTCTGCATATTGTGCTTTTGTTGTAGCCCAGTCCTACTAAGGGAAATGTGTGGTCATAGGGTATGGATTCTGGTTGCTCTCTCTGCAATGCTTACTTGACCTGACTGGTAGGTAAGAGCTAGCAGAGGCATGGGTACCTTCAAACTGCTGGGTAGATATAACAAAATCTTAGACTTGAGCTGTGAATTCTCTTAAACAATAATAGCAGGTAGCCAGGATAGAAATAACAATAATATTTTACTGAATTGCTGTTTGTACTGATTTACAAGGATTGTTTCCACTAGAGTTAATTTCAGTGTTTTATGAAGTGCTTTCTGGTGAATAAGTCTGTTCCATGGTAAGATGGTACCGTTGGCAGTTCTCTGTGCTCCCCAGACTGTACGCTTTACGTTGGAATGGGATGTAACATATGATCAAAGCAAAATGTATAGCACCCTCTGCTGCAAATACTTTGAACTGATTGTCTTTTTGCGTTACTTTTATGGCTGATCTGTACCCTGGGGAACTGATTTATCATTTTGTTGATATGTATTTTCTGCATGTTAGCAAGAATCATCATAACTGTAGTCGCTAGGTATGTTTATATTTTACAAAGTATTATTTCTTGATTCTCAGGCAAAAGAGCATAAAAATGTATATTTCAAGGTTAGTAAGAACCATTGTTAATTATGGAATGATAGATCTTTTGTGCAGGAACTGCATGTGAAATGCAGGAATTACATGACTTGCTTTAAGTAACTTCAAGTCAGCGATAAATGGGAGGAGAAAATACACTACAACAGTTAAAAACATTTAAATTCTACTCGCACAGGGGGGAAACGTCCTTATTTAGAGTTATGAAGTCTGAAAGCACTGTAAGATTTTTTTTAACCTGTATCCTAGAGGGGAAACCAAAAGTTTGCACAACCTGACACCTCTCAGCTCCAGTTTTAAGAATGGACTCTGCTCAATAGAGGTTCTTCCTTTCTTCCAGCTTCCTCCTTCATATTCATACCTGCAGCTTTTTCTCATAATATGTTGCAGATGTTGTTAATTAGCGCCATGGCTTGAAGTGCTTGTAACTGCTTTTTTTTTCTGCAGTGATTCACAGCGATGAACAGAAAAAACTGTAGCCAGAATAGGAGCTGTTTGAGAGAGAAGTCTCAATTTAAGTTTTCTGAAGTGAGGTGAAGAGCAGGCACACTCTTTACAGAAACTTGCTTACAACATGCTGGCCTCTATTTTCTCAGTGCCAGTTTGTTTCAAAGTGCACTACTGAAATAATGTGATGCAAAGACAAAACAGCATTGTGGCTGGTATCAGCAGCAGGGAACAACAGAGGTCACCATTGACTCACAGGAAGGAATATCTTCAGAATCCATTTTGGAACCCGATTAGTTATGTAGAGCCAAAAGCAACGCCTGGTTTCTGGTGGCTTAATTTCAGAGTTCTGTAGCATGAACAAAGACAATTACTTGTCTATGACTTTTTTAAAATTGCATTTTCTCTCCATTCCAACTCACACCCATTTTTTCACTACTACCCAGCAGGAATATCTAGAAACTAGTATCATT